TTGGTCAATTCTCCAGAAGTTCAACAAATTCTCTGATCAATTAAATTTTTAGCTCATGAAGGACCCTACCTTAATTTAACAACCATGTGCTATGATTAAAAAATCTTTCTCCTGGCACATGAGAAGTGTTCACATACATAAGGATTTTTTTATTTCCAATTGGAAAAACTTACTCAAATAATAGTAGGTAGGGAACAATGGATTTCATTCAATGAACAATACATATAATAAATTTATATTCCTCTCATTAGAAAAGCCTAAGCCAATGTCACAATTCAATACAGTAAGGAAATATCACAATACTAAAAATCCAAATGTGAAAACTAAAATCATGCATTGGGAGAAAATATTTATTTCAACTGCATGAAGATGTAACGAATAATAATAAGCAATACATTCCACATACAGCAAGTTCATTCAAACTCCTTTTATTCCTTCAAATCTATTTGAATTTGAAAGTGAATTGAAATGGATATATATGAATACCTCAACTACTGTCATGATCAATTCGTGTATCTCTGTTCAATGAGAAGAAAAATTGAATTATTCTATCATCACTCACCCACAGATCATTACATTGGGATAGAAAAATATATTTTTCTATTAGCTTTACTTCATTAATTTTTTGGTTATGCTAATACATCAGATTCTTGCCATTTTGGATTTTTAATCTGATATCCATCGAGGGTTTCTGTTGAAAAAAGAATGTAATCTCATTATGTTATGAAGTAACCAAGGAGTATTCAATAACCTCATTATCTCAGTACTTATATATAAAATATATTGAATTGAATACAGGTTGTTGGGATGAATGAATTAAGTGAAAATCCTCCTTAAACGTACCGTCTCAACGTTATTTGCATAAAATAAAATGTTCCAGCAAGCTCTTATCATGTGTGTGAACACTATTCATTTTTGAACAATGGTTCCAAATCCATATATGTATAGCATCGATAATAATTGCAGCAAGATTAGTTAGTGAAATAACTTCAATAAATATATCAACCATCAATAGTACCAAGCTATAGTTCCAAAAAAGTGTCTATATGATTTTAAAAATGTTTTTCAACATCATATCTCATACAGAATATTTACAGCTTCTCTTGTGGAGTGTATTCGCACCTCTCTTCTATATCAATGATGAAATGAATAAAACCGTTATTTGAATCATATGTACAAACCACAGCCAGAGAGCCTCCATCATTTGGAACGACTTCTTACCCATCTTGATTGTAGTATGTGAAGCACAGTTATTTTAATATGACTTACGAAAAATAACAGTTTTTCATTCGGAAATGAAAAGAGGTCAGTCACTTACATTCAAATCATTCAATTCAATGTAAGTGTATAAACCAATACTACTTCAATAATTTTGTTGTACCTACTACCTTTGTTGATTGCTAATAGAGGTGAATCCGAGATTAGAGACATTCGACATTTACTTTATTGATAAACATCATCAGAATACTACCAACAGAATTCATGACGTCAAGACGAGAGTGGTATGTGTATTTGCACCTCTCTTCGATATCAATGATAAAATGAATTAGACTGTTATTTGAATCGTGTGTACAAACTACAGCCACAGACCTTCCATCATTTAGAAATAAGCCTCCTTACCCATATTTATTGTAGTACCTATGAAAAGCAATATGACTAACATGTGCATTTTATATTCTAGTATTCAAGATCTTAACACATGGAAAGATAACTCAAGATGATATACATTAATTCAGAATTCACGAAACTGCCTCACTATCGTAACTGCTCTCCCAGGTGTTTTTAAAAGGAAAGGCACACATAATGAAAGCACAAGGTGTTTCGTGTTCTCAGGAAATAACCCTCAACTAACAGTCAATTGGATCATCTCCCGCATCGCGCTGTGTCGGCGGGTCTGAAGTTCCGTTTGAAGTATTGAAGTGTGTGCACTATGTTTTTTCAAAAACAATTCGCCTTGCACTTTTATAAAGAGAGACATGATGTCCATGAACATAATAGTAATTCCCTTTCGATCTAAAGCAACACAAAATATATCATACTTAGTGTAATATGAACCCCACACCCCCAAAGCAACTCACACAATTAGTTAAACGGATCACCCTACTAACTCAACTTACTCAACCTGTATAATACATTCAGGCGTGTATAAGTACAGCGGGTCTCTCTTTAAACGGCCCTCCTCTATTTCTCAACTATTCGTCATGTGATTCGTACCAAATTTGGAACCATATGAATAACCATCAATATGATCAGTTTCTCAACGACCAACATCCTTTTGAACAGGGTACATTTAATATGAAATCATATTGGAATTTTTTTCGCAGGAAAAATAACTTATTATTACTTATTATTGTTCCTCATGCTTTTGAACCTCCATATACAAAAAATCACTCCATTCCGAATCAAAAGAATAATTGACTTAATTTTTTTCATTTTCTGCCTAGAAAAAATAGTGAATTCAAATCAACTGCGAATTTTGGAACGTTTAATAGCTCCAGTAGGTAAAAAATTATAATCTGAACGAATAAAAAAAGATATACTTTTTTTTGTTGAACTCACCGCTTCTGAGTGAATAATTATTTACGATCGAAAAAATGCTGTTCAGGTGTGCATGTTTTTTTGGAATCCTCCATAGAAATCTTATGAAAATTTACACATGGGAGTTTGAAACCATGAAGAACAGTATTATGAGGTCACTTTTCCTGTAAAAAATGTATCCCCTTACAATTCAATGAAAACTCAAGGCACTGTCCAGAATGATGTTTGTCTCTGATCAACTTATCATATTGATTCGGTAAGAATCGCACGACTAATAGCTGAGATATAGAGGGAGGGTCGTTTGAAGTGAGACACGCTGTATAGGAGGAGGGGCAATAGGTGTAATTTCCACCTGACCCATGTCCGAATTACTTCGTGCAAACGAAACATATTTTCGATTGGTATATTATTCATAATGTCAAAATGTAGTGGATACTTCAGATAACTCAATATGTACAAGGCTGCATAATTTCATCTTCATTTCGTATATTGAGATTAGCAAGGAGAGAGGACTCTTGGGTTATTATTGATCGCTCAATTAGTAACTAGTGACATATGGAAGGGACAGGGAGCTCAGGCCTCACCCATAACCTTCAACTTGTGAGTAATAATATGTGGCAAATTCCTCAGAAAAGGAGATAGGATTTTTGTTTGAATTTGCTACCCTGGTATGGTATTACCCCAAAATTTGCAGCTGTACTTAAGCGTCGAAAAACTGAACATTCGATAGGAATATATTTGACCTACGGTCTCTTTTTTTATTTTAAAATAGGTTGTCCGAAAGTTGATTCTCTCCCCTGGGCGAACTCCCAAATTCGCGGTTGGATACATTGTGTGCGAAGTTAATAGTAAGAAATATACGGATTATTTGTGATCCTTTCCATATATCATAAAAAAAAGATTGAATTATTCTATTGATCATGACATTTTTTTAATAGGGTAACATAAAAAAGTGTGAAATACTTTTAGAGTGCGGAAAAGAATGTTTCATCAAGTGTTAAATGTCAAAATTAGTCACCTTTTATATAATTTTTGACGTATTTTAGCATCTTGTCTGGAAATCATAATTTCAAATGTGTGTTTTTCCATTTCTTCTTATTATAATACTATTTCTTCAAATTTCAATGATTGATGTGAGTTCGGAATTCGTGAGGGATAAGAATATTTTTCATGTGAGGCTGTGTTTATTACTGTTATTCTTGATCTGGATTTCTAATGAATGTTCACAACTGAATGAATTAATAACTTTGTTTCATTTTCATTTGAGAATGCACTAATACTCTTTCAAATTGAACCAATCTGAAGAAATCTACCGAAAAAGAGTGTTTTCGTTAAAAAAAAAAAGGATTATAAAACACACGAAATAGAGGTCCATCATCAAGACTAGAAATGGTGATAAGAAGGCTTACTAACTTTCAACATGAATGAATAGTAGGCCTGAGTGTAGCTAAAAACGTATTTTTTTCACAAATGGGCTGTTGAAAGCACTAGCATGAACAAATGCTGTCAAACCCACAAATGAAAAAAAATTGCTTAACAGGATTGTATGCATAGAAATATCAGTGTGATTAGTGATATCATATAAAAAATGATATATAATATTTTGGAATTTGAAATGAAGATGCCCTATTCATAAGATTAACGATTATGCATATTTAGCTGATGGACATGACTTTGACTCACATAATGTGGTCTGAGTGACATAATGTGGTCTTCGATATAGATTTCACAAAAATTTCAATCAGTCGTTCACATCAAAATCTTAGCAATTTGCTATTTTATTTTATTTCACTACTGACTATTTGAATAAAATATCGTATACTAGAAATATAGATTGAGATATTCACAAAACAATTATCTAACACATTTTATCAGCTTGGCCACTGAGAGTTTATTTACAATCAAAGATCAGTTCAATGAACTATTCACCAACAGGAATCCTTAAAAACAATAATATATCATGTCTGAAGCATTTGGGAACAGCACTTTTAGCATCTTTCACTTGAAATACTTAGAACATAATCATTCCCTACACAATTTCGTCCGATATTTATGTAATCTATAAGTTTGGGTGCGTGACTGAGCAACAGAGGAATGCGCCGACCAGTTAAAAAACAACAATGTACACTAATTCTACACTTCCCCTATACAGCTTATACAATAAAATGGTAGTTACTTGTCAAAAATAATCTTTCAACATTAGCCTGTACACATGGAGAAACATTCAAAGAGAGTTCAAGAGGACGCCGCTTCAACATAAAACGAGACACCTGAATATGGGGGGCCAATCACAGTCGTGCAACTTGCATCGTACAGCACTAATATATTTTTTAAACCTCTTTTAAACATATCAATATTCAACAGTCGGCTAGGAACATATGACTCACACGAAAGAAGTGACATGTACACCTAAATGCCATAGTTTTTCATCTTCAAATCATATTAATTTCACGTTTCTTTTTGGGGCAGTATTATCTATCGCACGCACCGTTCAACAACGCACTACGGTTCTGTGAGACCATGCTACTTGGGAGAGCGAGGCGTCACAAAATCGCGCAGCTGCGAAGTCCTCGTTTCCGTCCGCCTGCGTTGAAGTCTGTCGTGGATGGGCCGAGAAGCAGCCATAGCGCCGCCATTGCCACGGCTTGTGCCGTTAAACCTCTGATGGGCAGCTAACCCCTCGGTTCGTTGTAGGCCATCTGAACAGTCAACAATACTTTTTAATCCAATGAGACGGAAGTTTGGGAACAACGATATCCTCAACACCCGAAAATTCCGGTGAAATTAGAATTTTGAGTAATTTCATAGGCGAAGGCGAAATATGTGCCTCTGTTGGGATTAAGATAATGGGGAAGTTTCCTTCCGATGAATTTACATAAAATAAGTTCGGAACCTTTCAGTTTCATGCCCACGCGAATATCGATGGATAAAGTCCTAGTCATTTTTATTTTCAAATTAAAGCAATTTCTAATCTTCGGGGCGGCAAACTGTGACGTATATTCTGAAGCAAGTCTAAATATTGCTGATGATAAAGAATATAGCTAGCGAATAGCTAACAAATGAAAAAATAGAAGATGACAACTTGGCGTCGTTTTTGATTACATTATGAAAAATGACCATGATCTACTAACTAACAAAACAACAGGCTAACGAATATTTGGAGATCAAAAATCGACAAAAGTGAAACTGGTAAACCAAAACATACATAACGACAAAATCAGATCGGCTCTCAGTATGCCCGTCAGTATTTTGTGGGGTGTTGACGGGCTCAATTCAAGAAAATAGATTAGTTTTATAAAGGAACGAATTAATTTGAAAAATAATGACTGACATGTTATGATGAATGGTAATATAACGAAAGTAAAAAATTATAGATACTATTTCAAAATATCATAATACATCTTCATTAGTAATCAACTTCATCCAGTAAATGAGAGATTTATGGAAATTATTCGTAATACTCGACGAAATACGATTAAAAACCCATTATATCCCATTGATGTTATGATATAGTTATAATCTATTCAAAGAACAACATTTCCAGATATCTAGATAATGATAATGCCGACAGCGTCGTACTGACACAGGAAATCGTATATTTACTCTGTGTGAAACGAAGGAGCCCAGTTCCTTTTTCATTTATTTTTTCTGAAGTGAAATTTGAGGTTTCGAAAAAAAATACGTATACATCAAATTTTTACAAACTTCACAGTGAGATAAAAACCTCAATATTGGAAACTTCCCCATTAAGTGCTTCTCAACTGATGTTTACATATACTTTGGTTTTACCGTCTGACTTCGACGTCCGGGTGTTTCTTACCATCATTTAGAAGTCGGTGCACGGAAACACTAAATATACGATCATTTAATGGGCCAACGGGGCAGACTACGGTCAAACGAGCCTTGAAAGGGGGTGGAGTTTAGTGGGTACTCCCACACTACCATGAAGGTACTCACCCATGAAGGAAACAAGTAAATTTCCTCAGACATATTTTACACTTTGGACTGTCCCAAAAAATCAATAATATAATTACATAATAAAATGCAATGCATTGTTGCCAACTCTTTCCCCAATCTAACCAAATCCTTGACAATAGTCGTTTTGGATTGCACATACTCATTTTCAAATACTTTAATATCATCTCTATCAATTTCATCGCAGGAATTCAGTTTTGCAAATCAGATTATTTTGAATGAGTTTATAAGTTATACCATGCTTTCACGTTTATTTAAAGCGAGTCATGCCGCGTCCCTCATTCCTTCGTAGCTGCTAGCCCCAAGCACGACCGAATACTTGGCCTATGTAGTGTTTTCCAATGAAAGCACGGTATATTCTATATCGTGTTACACAAGAAATGTCGTCTGGCCACTCAGCAAAACAAACAAACTAATGAATGAATACACCTGGCTGTATCTTCGAAGGAAGTTGAAAAACGGGTGTCATGACCTAATTAAATAATTCCACGTTTTTGAATATGTTCTCACCTCTGAAATCCCTGCCATCATGATCATTCAGTACCCGACCATTATTGGAGACGCTGCTAGGGTAATTTGCTGTCGACTGTGTCGACTTTGTTTGTGCTATCGAAGTCGGTGTGACTTCATTCTGTTTTTCCTTTGTGAGTTTTTCTTTTTGAACATTTGCCTCTTTGTAGTGCTGAGCCACTTGGGCGTAGCTCATACGTGGTGGATTGCCTGGTAAGTCCTGAGAAATATACACATAGATAGTACAAAATATACAGAGTAACCATAAATTGGTTCAAGGGCATATTTTGTTAGGACTAAAAAGATAAATGAAACATGTGGTGTATGACTATCAGCCATAGGAAAATATGATCTTATTTTCAGGTCAGAAAAATATAACTACTATCTCTCTTTTTACTTAGATACAGTTGTTAAATTACTCCCAGCAAACATGAGGCGGTAAATAGGCGGGCCATCGCTGTCAGCAGCGGATATATATCGGCAGCGGCAAACCGATATCGGCAAAATGTTAGAATGACATAGGTTGTGCCGCCACAACATGATGTACGCTTATTTATTATGTTTTTTATTCTTCCATCCCGTAATTGACCGTTATAGATAAGTCACAATCGAGCCGCTGTCGATTCGATGCTGGAGACAAACTCCATTATATAAATAATCTCATAGTGTAGTATCACAATAACAATATATCTCCAGAATACTTTTATGCATTTTTTATGGTTGATCCCAGTAAACTATCGTCCGAGTTCAAGAATGATATATGTTATATAACAATAATTATACTCGTTATTGTCTACCAATCCATTTTTGTGGTAATGATTTTGAGCTGAATATTTGTTCATTACCCTATATTATAACAATGATGCTCCAATGCGAAGTTCAGCTCTTTAACTATATATTCGAAAAATATTTGATTCGCAGTAATAGATGGAAAAGTAATGTGGCTAGAACATTATCAGACTACACCTATTCTACGTCGTCAAATCAACAAGTTATGATAGGTATATCGTATGATCAAATATAATTGAAGCCTTGTACTATTTCCATTCTGTTGACTGATGGATTCGTAATATTATCTTTCAAGTTTCGCAGTAGCCTAGTGGTATAAGCGTCTGACAGTTGATCGAGTTGTCATCGAACCTCCGATGCGAAAGGTTGTGTGTCGCTCCGTGAGTGTGTGATAGACAAGGACAGAACGTTCGAGCTGTCCTTGTCGTACTGTGCGCGAGTGGAGCACGGACCGCCAGATAGTCTGGTAATCTAACGGAGTGTCGCGCTCCGACTTAGAGTATATGAGATCTAGTCGGATTGAAGAGTAAACCAAAGAATAGTAGGTTAGTCACCTGGCCGGGTCGGACAGTAGTCTGAACGCCCGGCCAGGAAGCATCACCGCTAAGCTGTGCCAGATGGCAACTTAACGCACAGCTAGACCCCAAGATTTTAAACCGTAGTTTCAATAATAATTTTAATAATAATTTAATAATAATTTTAATAATAATTTTAATATAATTTTAAGTGTGTTGTACTAATTTATTATTTAATTTATTAACCTAGTCTAGTCAAAATACATAAAAACAAAAAAAAAATCATAAATAATTTTAAGTTTAATTTTGATTTCAACTTATTTTAACTCAATTTTGATATCGATAAAATTGAGGAGGAAGAACCACCGGATAGAGCCCAGCAGCAGGGTGGGGAGTCTCTCCCGGAGGGAGGGCTGGATCGAGTAGGTCCGACCGAGGGAGAGTCCCCCACCCTTGACAACAGATCTGCCAAAAGAGGCTAATCCAGAAATTCATGAGAGAACACCAATCACTAGAACGGTTAAGATCAGAAAAAACCCGAAAATCGACTACGATCAGGTACCAGACTACATGAAAGAAAACTTGTTCAAGAGAGTGCCAGAGCAGCTGAGAGCATTTCTCATGTTCTATGAAAAGCTGGACCTGAGAGTAGACGATTTTGACTCGTGGAAGGATTTTGCTGGAGGAAGGGCACCTCGGTATTCTAGACGGAGAAGACCGAATAATGAAATTAAAAAGGTAGTCCAAGAAATAAATAAACAAATGAGTCTGGAAGCGAAGCCCGAGGACTGCCCCAGTAATCTCTGGGAGCTGGCACATCATACCCACACCCACCCCCATGAGACACTAGAAGAAAGGGCCAACAGAATCAGGGAGGCGATGCAAGAGAGAAACATCAGTAAGGACGAGATAGAAAATACTCATATAGACATAACCAGCCAAACAGGTCCAGATGAGTGGGATGCACTCTCGCTCGCCTCCTCTGCCAGAGTAAGTACGTCACCCACACCACGAGTATCGATTGAGATAGAAAATCAGGCAGAAAGGGATAGAAGATTGAGAGCAGTATGCAAAGCAATCTCTGTCACTCCACCTGCTAGCTTGCCACCGAAATCTCCATGCTCAGACACTGAGAAAGAGATAATGTCTGCCACCGAAAGGTCGCTTACTAGTGCGTTTTCGGATTCTCTGGAAGCCGGAGAGTTTAGGTCGGAGAAAGTTAAGATACTCAACCCATCAAGACAACACTCAGCAACATCGGTAAGATCAACGGCCAAAACCAAAACAGTAACCCTTCCCACAACCTTCGTCTCCAGATATGAGACCGAGGAACCAGAAGAGATGCCTGCTATACCTGCAAAATACAGGAAGTACATCATCCACGATGAACTGACGCATGAAGGAGCGATGGCAAAAAAGATTCAGGCTGCGGAGGAAAACCTCTTGAACCATATGGCCAAGATCACACCAGAAAAGATGGACATCACATCACCTCCCAGACGTCTAGAGAAGAGGCCAAGGGAACTCGATGCCATATCGGAAACGTCTGCATCAGAGCAGGAAGAGGCACCAAAAGCTGGCAGGAAAGAAATGCCTAGGAAAAATCAAGAAAAAGCGGGAACATCACGAACAACGCAAAACCTAAATAAGAAAGGAGAAAAACCTCCGCCGATTATCTTCGACGGCATACTCCGTGATAGGAGCGAAATTATCCCCCTCATAAAATCGTTGACAACGAAAAATTCCACTTTAAATATGGGGGGGACTCCACGCTCCTATACACGGAATGCACTGAGGATTTCGAAGCAATCAAGAACAGGCTGAAGGAAGATGAGGTATCGTTTTATACCTACTCTCTCAAGAAAGACAAAACCCACGCATTTGTGTTGAGGGGCTTGGACTTTGAGCCTGAGCCCTCCGAGATAAAAATCGAGCTAGAAGACGCGTATAAATTCAAAATCAAGGAGGTCTACAGGCTCAACACGAGGTATAGGCCTCTCTATCTGGTTGTAGTGGACCCGATTATCACTCTTCGGCTCCTGAATGATAAAGTAAAGACACTAATGTCCGTTAGGATCTCGTGGGAGCTGAGGAGGAATAACCGGGCAGTCACACAATGTAAGCGCTGTCAGCAGTGGGGCCATGCCACCAGCAACTGCTACAGGGACCACAAGTGCCTGAAGTGTGCTGGTGGACACCCCACTTCTGACTGCAAGCTACCTAAACAGGAGCCGGCAAAATGTGCGAACTGTGGTGATGCCCATCCGGCTAACTACAGTTCGTGCATTAGCTATATTCGCAGAATTGAAAAAATCAACAAAAACAAAGCCAGACAACCAGGTGGACGAACCTATGCCCCAGCCCCGCCCCCCACCACAAATGTGTGGGAGAAAAGAAGACTTGAGAGAGAGGCCAGCCAAACAACGGGGACCAATGTTAGAGAGGCCAGGCAGCCCACCAGAAGAGAAGATGCAACTCACCCCACACATAGCTGATATATGCATCAACTGATGTGTTTAGAGAACCTGGTGATCTATAGTTGGAATCCCTTTCGGATTCTCGGGAATACCCGAGAAGCCGGGGGGTCTAGACAAGACTATCTCTCAAGCAGGAAAATAAAAAAGTGACATAGGCGTGAGAAATCACTACCGATCACTGAACTCGGGCAGATGTGCCGCACGAAAGTGTGGTACAACTGCCCGAGCACTTTTCCCCCAAAAACAAGTTAACCCACCCACATTGATCGCGACTGAACAGCTTCCCCACCCTCTTGGGTACCCTCAGCGAGATTACCTATATAAAGGGCTTAGCCCTAGGAGAGGTACCTGTGACGAACACCTCGCATATCCACTCACATTCCCTGGCCAACACCAGCCACCTCTGCGCCAAGCGGAGGAATATTCAGGCACACATATAGATGTGCTAACATAAATAGAAATGTGTGTGATAATATGTGTTGTATTGTGAAAGAATTGAAGATGAATAAATGATTTTAATGTGACAGTTGATTGGATATCCGTTCGATCGCAAGTTCGAGTCCGACTCCCGACTATATCTTTTTTTATTTCTAACCGAATAGTGTCGGCAGATAGTCGGGCGGCCTACTAGCGGCCGGTGCGACACGGTCTAGCCGGGCCGACGATGTATCATGATTGTGGCACGCTGATGTTGACTGTCGGCAGTTTTTGGAGGGTGTCTAAAGGCCCGCGCGATACATGTTTGGTGGGCTGTTGTGAATGGGGTAGTGATAAAACAATGGTTTGACGGTCAGTGGGCGTGACAATTTTTGAGAATTGCCATCATTCATTTTCGTTCTTTGGCACAAAGTGAGATGATTGAAAATAAACTGTATTACGGTCTTTATTCATATGTTTCTTGCATGCTGACCCCAATAATGATTACAAATAACCAAAACTGCAATCAGAACCATATTAAATGGTGGTATGTAGAAATGATATCAATAGCGATAAATAGTATATCAGTTTGAACTCTTTTTCAACCAGCAAACCTCGCAAGTCCTGGATCGATCAAATATCCCGGGAAATCTTCATCAAATTATTTTTCAATATTCAGTTTCCTTTACACAGTATGTTCATTTCGGAAATGATATAATCATTGTTTGCATACACTGCGTATATTCTGAAACACACTAAATTATTTTTTATATTGGGGTTCATACTGGGTTCCACATGAAGACAAGAATGAAATTTTGAGGGATATCCGGTATATAATTACACTTCCTGGAAGACGTTTTTGAGACAATTTTCAATGGGATCGAAGCGCTGTACTCTTCATGAATGTAAAATGAATCTTAAACATCACTATTGATAATTATTAATGTATTTTCTTTCTACTCACATGACTAAAGTAGCAATTAGCGTACGAATATGTATGACAATCTGTGATTTATTCAAAA